ATCCATATATACTTAATTTTCCTTGGTACTTAATTTTCCTCGGTACCAGAATTTACTGAGGGAATTACCTAACATTATATCACTAGCCAGTTGCCCGTCAAGAATGACAGGGGGGCAGCGGGCAGGGGTGGAGCCCCGTGGCCCCCCACCCCAGGCCTGCTCCCCCCTTCCCTCCTGCTACTTGGGGTCTGGGCCCAATCCCCCCCTCCCTGCTGCAGCAGTGGGGGGAGGGGAGGAGTGGGCCTGGGCCTGATGCAGGGGAGGACTGGGCCCGAAGGTGGGAAGAAGCCGGGCTGCTGCGGCAGTGGGGAGCAGCAGTGGGCCTGGGCTGACCCAGCAGTGATGGGAAGAGAGGGCTTGGAGCTGACGTGGGGGAGGGCAGGGTGGGGAAGAAGTGCTCCTGGGCCTGGGGGTGGGGAGGAGGCCTGCTCCTCCCCTCCCCTGCTGTGTTGGGCCGGGCCCACTGCTCCCTCCCCCATTGCCCCAGCAGGCTGGCTTCTCCCCCCACTCAGTCTTGCTTCCCCCCACCTCGTGTCAGGCCTGAGCCCACTCCTCCCCTCCACCCACCACTGCCACCATGGCATGCCCACTCATCTCCCTACTACTGCCGCGTCAGCCCTGCAGGCGGCGATGAAAGAAAGGGGAGGCGCGGGTCGAGGCCAGCACCAGTGACCTCATCCCCCCGTGGCGTCCTGACCATACTCCCCCCCCTGCCACCACCACCACTGTCACCTCCAAGGAGCAAGGGGGGAGGCGAGGCCAGCTCTGGTGGCCTTGCCCCTGCCCCCCCCGCTCCATCATGACCACCTGCAGGGAGCAGGGCAGGGGTTGGGGGGTGAGGCCAGTGCTTCCCCCCATTCTGTCTGCTCTGTTGATGCTGCCTCCAGGGAGCAGGGTGGGGGGGGGTGGCGAGCCAATCAGAGTGGCAATCAGAGTGCGAATAAAGCGTTATAGACAACCAGACAGACAGATTAAGGCTTTTATAATATTAGAAGTTTTAAAAAGTGCTTATGGTGGCACTTGGAGTCTGCTTTGAAGTTAAAAATGATAAGTATGGAGACAGATATGGGGCTACCTTATTCTTAAGTGTATAAAACATCTAATTTTTAATTTGAGAGACAGATGGAATTAAAATAATATTTCTTTAATCCAACTATAATTAATTGGCATTCAACTAACCTTCATTACACTAACAAGTTAATTAGATTTTATTCTCTGTATTGTCTCCTTTTAATAAATAAGCAATAATGAAGACATGTCTAATGGACGCGTTCATGGTTTTGTTTATCAATTCCACTGCCCTTTATTTTGGATTTTGTTTAATTTCCTCTCTTCCACATGGCCATCTTGCCTCTACTCTTCCCTTGCACTTGCTCTGGAGAATGGTTGCCACTTGTTGACGCTGCTGGTTCTACAGTAGCTTTCCATTTCTATAGATGTCCATCAGAAATAGTAGCAAAAAGAATAGAAGTGTCAAATGCCACTCATCTCTTCTCCAAGTTTAAATCATCATTAAAACAATATTTAAGTGCTTCTTACTGAAAATGTAGGCATGGATATCACAGAATTATTTTTTTCAGAAAGCTGGTTTGATGGTTCCAAAGGACACAGTAAAAGTATTACACACATCAAAGAATTCTTGTTAATAGATGTGAGCAAATTTTCAGAATTACTTCTTTTGATGCTAATTTAAAGAAGAATTCTTTTGATGCATCTGGATTAGGCCATGAACAGTATTCCACCAGGTGGCTGATCTCTCATGTAATCAATTAACTGAGCACCCCATCCCTAAGAAAGATTTATCATGAGCAGTCAACTGTATGGCATGAACACATCCATTTTAAAACTGAAGCACATATTATCAGCTTCTGGGTATTTTACTGCACTCTACACACGTAGACGCTAACAAGGAACATTAGCAGGGGGAAAAATATCATATTTGGGTGGCAATTGCTTTTAAACCATGCTGTGTAATTTAACTCCCTAAATGATGACCAATTGGATTATTTGAAGACCAGCAGCTGGCAGAACATATTCTACCCAGGCCCCTGCAGGTGCCCCTCAACAGCTGTAAACATCAGGCACGCATGTTTATCCCATAGTTGCCAGCCAGCTAACAGCTGGATTTTAGAGGCAGAGCACTAATTGATTTCAAAGAAAGGAGCACTGACTGATTGCTGGCAGCCCTCCAGCAATGATCTGGGCATCACCAAAGATGGACCTGGGCAAGGAAAGGAAATGGATGCTTTCTTGTGTATTACATTCCTGCTTTGAGCTCCTGTAGATTTTCCTTGTTAAGAGGGAGATGCATTTGCCAAAAGCCAAAGTAAGGTAGGGTTTTATTGCATGTCAGCCATTCTGCAGTAACTGCCCAGATGCACACACTTTTCCCAAGGTAGATGAAAGCTAATTTTGACAGTTTATCCCTCCTTCATGTAAGATAACTTGAATCTGCAGGGGATCAGGGACAGAAGATCAATAAACTGAGTTAATCTAAATCTGTTAAGCCTGATACTACGTCCATCCAAGTTTATCTTAAACTGGTTTCGGTCATTTTGAAAGCAGTTGATGTGCACTGAACTTTTGTTTTGCTACTGATTTGAATCAGTTTCTGATCACTTATACTGGTTTATGTGCAATTTCTATCCCTAGTCTCTGTGTCACACAAAAAGAAAAAAAAATCATCAACTCCTTGCTCTACCTTCACTGCAGTTATGATAAGGGTGTGTGTTACCCTGTGCTTAACTTAAACCACCTATATAATTCCACTGATTTTAGTAAGTCTGAATGAGGAAATAAATTATTTATTTAAAAAAACATTTACAATGTGAGCTTACCTATATTAAATAACATAAAATGTGTTAGTATAAATAACTGATTATGCCCTGAAAGCTATTTATTTCACTGTTATTTCTCTGCATTCAGAGAAATACAGAAGTAAGGTCTGTAGGCTTCCCAAATCGGTTGAAAACCAAAGCTTTTTGCAGAGAACTGTTAACCAATTTATTTCAACATGAAAAAACCCGTAAACAAACTAATATAAAACCAAATAGATTATTTTGGCTGTGAAATTACTATGAGACAGCTGTAGAGAATGTATATTGTGTTTGATAGGATATGATAGATTGTTTTAAAATAAATAAAAATAAAATGCAGAGCAAATTATTCCACATACCTGCTATTAAATTCTTGTTCTGTGTCCAAACTTTAAAAAATATACCTATGCCACTAAGATCATGTTGATATTTTGTGAATATTTTTGCTGCCAGGAATCTCTGATTATACAAATTTATTTAGTCTAAAATACTTCTAATCATAAAAAGAATACTTTATGTTGGTAGCTGGCTTGACATCTACATAATGTGGAATAGAAAATTATTTTAAACATTTTGAATTATAAAATGAACTTTGAAAAAAAAATCCTTAAATATATGGACAGCATGAAAACAACTAGCAAAAACTGTTCCTTGCTACTCTACAAGAATCAACGAACTGTATATTGTATATTGGCAAGAAGGCTCGTTCTATTATGCAACAAAGGGGAATGATTTGAAACATTCCCTAAATGCCACAGTAACCAGAGGCTTAGTGGAAATCAAATCCATGTTATTTTCTAAGTTATGAAATTGCTGGATTCCAACTTTGGTGCAAGTCTGGCTTCCAATTTTTAAGGAAGATTAACTGACACCCCTTTTATAACCAGGCTAAAGTCTCACCTATGTTGCAATGATAAACTAGATTTGCATTTTGTTAATATGGTTCCACATCTCAGGCAGAGCCTGAAGGGATTTCTAACAGTCTCATCATCTGCCTAGGATCTATGCTTATAGCATTTGGTTCTACATTCTTTAATCTGATTAAGATTCAGATATGCTCTAAACTAATCCATTTGCATTACAAATACAGACTTGCTCTAATTACACTTTTGTATAATAATGATAAAAATTAGGAGGCATAGGCAAGAAATCATCCCAAAGTCTGATACGATCATTGTGGATTAGCTCTTCTACATCTTCTTGAGTCGACTAAAAATAATTGTAACATATTAGCTACCATGACTTGCCAATTTATCTCAAAGAGAAGGGTAAGGACTGATTTGTAAACACAGAATCAAAGTTATCAACTGTACAACTGACACCTTGGCCAGATGAAATAAAAATTAGAAAAATGTTTGGCTCCCATTGGTTAATAAACAACAGCAGTAACTTGCTCTATGTTATAACTTCCTTGAGAAAAAGAAATGTTAATACAAACCTTCTCTTTATCATACATGTGCAAAAGGAGCCAAGTCTGCCTTGTCTTTTGAAACTTCCAGTCTTTGGGGTTTTCAGACCAGCTGCAACAACATAAGTCAAAAAATAATTGTTTAAACTATGCACTATGTAATACACAACTTCTTTATTCATGTAAAACCTTCAGACAATGATTCAAAGTCCTTTACAAAAGTCATGTGAATTGACTTAAAATATCCTTGTGAAATGTTTATTAGCAGACACTGAACAAATGGCAAAAGTGAAGAACAGAAAGGCAAGGTGGCTTGCTTGAGAGTAGCCATACATATCAGTGACACAACAAGGAAGAGAAACTAGGAATATTGCTGGCTGGGAATTTTCCAGTGAAACTGTTTTTCCATTGGAAAACTGATTCTTTGAAACCAAAGTGTGAGATGCCATATCGCCTACCTCATAATGTGCAACAGCCCCGTGGCTACAGTACTTCCCTGGACAAGAGAGGCAGTCTCTGTCTTACTCACTATTGTCAGAGCTGTTCCGCATTGACTCTGGAATTAAAGATTCACTGGCACAGAGGAAGAGACTGAGTACAGAGCATGAAGGTTACAGCACTTGCAAGACAGCACCTTGATTCTCCCATGTATCCCTGCAGCAATTAAAAAGTAAAGTGGAAGAGCTTCCCAAGTAACAGGATGAGAGAGACTTGCCCCAAGCTAACTGACAGGTGGTTAAGGGGACTCCTGGGTTTTGGGAAACAGGGATTCAACTTTCTAGGTTGAGTCAGAATAGACACACAAACTTATGATTTCACACCCTGGGCAAATGCATAAAGGAACAGCTATTGTGGTGCAGGGAAATCTCTCTCCCTCTCTTTGTGAAAATGTTAAAAGGTCTCCAGCTTGTCAGAGTCCAGAATAAAAAAATGCTCCTGGAATGGGAAAAATGCTACCCACACAGCTCTACCCACGACTTCTGATTCCCAATACATAGCTAAAAACATGAGATGTCTTGGCATCATGCTTGCCTCAAAACAACTTCTATAATGTGCATGCCCAGTATCTGCAGATTCTCAGAATATCTCACAAAAAATTTTAAATATGTAAAGCATGGCTGGGCTAAAATGTCAGGCCTAAGACTGCAATTTGGGTATAGTAAAAAAGTTAAGCTGGTACGTTTTGCTGTAAATTAGAAAAAGGAAGAAAATCTACTATAAGCAACCTAACTGGAATGTAAAAGATGCATTTATTATAAATGGAGAATGTAGTAAATGAATATTTCTTCTTTAAGCAACAGTAGAATAATCTGGAGTGAATACTTCTCTTTCACCTCCAAAATATATCATAGACATCTAATAAAGTACTAGTCAATATACTGAAAGCATTATTGAAAGACATAGCACTGTACTGGGAAACACAAACCCTAGTAAACTAATATTACTGGATTTTCCTGTGAAGAAAACTAAGTCTCTAGAGTTACGAAGCACGACAGGTTTTAATGTCACAGTTTGTTTTACATAGTAATATTGAGCACAGAAATCAATTAGAGAGCCAGTTGGGCAAAAGAATTAACAATGTTCAAACACTGTCAAGTCTGATAAAATAAAACAGCTCTCATATAAAATTCACTTTACACTGGCAAATAAATTGTTTGGTGAACCCAGTGAAAGACCAATCTGTCCAGACAGGTTTCATGACTGCCTCTGCAGAAAGCTGACAGGCACAAAGAATAAGCTCCTTTTTTTTTTTTTTTTTTTTTTTTTAACTTCACAATGTTTCCAAACAAAAAGTTGTAATTGGGTGAATTCAGTGGAAATTTACCACAAAAAATTAGGGCTGTCAATTAGTGTTAATGCATACAATTAAAACAAGAACCAATTAATTTTTTAACGTGTTAATTGCGCACGTGGCTTTGGAGCCCACACCCAGGCTCCACATGCAGGTGCGCAGCTGCAACATGGATGCAACCAGGAATACAGCTCGGCAGTGTGTACAGCAGTGCCCAGCAAGTAAGTCTGTGGAGGGGGAGGGCAGATCAAGGCCCCCACAGGGAGGGAGGGAGTGGGGCACAGGCGGGGGTATGTGGGAACCCAGGGCCAGGGCAGGTCGTGGGATGGAGCTGCAGGGGGGCGATGGCGCCCTGCTGCTGTGCGCACCCCAGGGGAAGGCATGGGGGGCATGTGCCCCCCAGATTTGTGCACAGAGCAGAAGTGGGCTGGAGCTTTGCACCCTGTTGGCTGTGCCCCAGGAGCCAAGTGCTGGCCCCATGTCCCCTGCCCACTCAGCGGTGGGAAGAACATGGCATTGCCACGGGTCTGTCCCAGGGCAAAGGCAGCAGGGCACAGAGCCCCAGCCTGCAGCAAGTAGCCCGTCTCCACCCTGTGCACAAATCCGGGGGGAGGGAAGGCACATGTCCTGCATGCCTCCCCCGGGGATGCGCACAGCAGCAGGGATCCTCCTTTCACTAAGCCCCTGGGCGAGCCACCCACAGCTTCATCCCAGGACCTGTCCTGGCCCTGGGGTCCCATTCATTTTAGCCCCTGCCCCACTCCCTCTTTCATCATGGGGGCCTTAATCTGTCCCCCCCTGCCCCTTCTCTTCCCCTCCCTCTTCACAGATTTACCTGCTGGGTCCTGCTCTACACGCTGCCAGGCTGCATTTCTGTAGGGTTACATATTTCCAGTTTTTAAGAAGAGGACACCCCTTAATATGACTGTGGGGAGAATGCCCTTGCCCTGCCCCTGCCCCTTACTCCCAAAGCACAGCTCCCCTAGCCCTGCTGCTGCCCCTCAGTCCTTACCCACAGTACCTCACATCCTCCCCCCCCGGCTCCAAACCCCACACACAGAGCCACAGACCCCCACACCTTCACAGATTTCCTCCCACACACACACCTCACAACCACACCCCAACCATACAAAGTACCTGCATAATTTTGTGTGCTTTTGAGTTTTTCTGTGCATAATTTTGATTTTTTAGCTGTGTGATTAAAATTGTGCTTAATTGCAACGAATTTTTTAATCACACAATAAATCACAATCACATTTTTAATCATCTGACAGCCCTACAAAAATACAAGGTAAAAGCAAAAGAATTATTACAAACTAGGAAGGAATCTTTAACAACCCCAATGCACTAACTTTTTATACCATCAAAGCTAAACCCACAAATTAAGAAATGTAGTCTAGAAGTCCCCTATGGCATGCTACAGTTAAACAAACAATCTCCTGGAGAACAAATGCCACAGGGGGAGGTTTGAAAAACAGGGACAGGAAAGCTGAGGATCCAAAGTCAGGAAAAATAAAAAGTCCGTTAGAAAACAAAATGCTTCAGGTATTCATGATTTAGACTTTTGTACCATTTCACCTCCCAGCTGGGTGCCTGCTGTTTGCTGAAAGGCTATCACACATATCAAATCCCTGGAGCATAAAAAATTAACAGTGAACAGAAAGGAAGGAAAAAATAAGACCTACTTTACTTGGAGTTTGCTTGCACAGACAGTCATTCATTTGTATGCAGTTTCTCTACAAACCAGACATATGCATTGGCTGCAAAAGGGGAAGCTGGCATACAGGCAAAAATGAATATAGCTTTGTAGCAAATGACTTACCAAAGTCTGTTCTTTCTTTTAAGAAAAACCATGTGGCATGGACACGATGTTGACGGAAACTTTGCTTGTTTCTACTTCACTGGAGAAACTCTTTGTGAATGGTTAATTCTAGTACATCCTTGGCTCTGGCACAGTTAGCTTCAGAGTTGGATACCATTTAAAGAAATGGCATTATAAGTAAGTCTTTTTTTTATCCCATATGTGGGTTAATGGTGCATTCAGATTCTCTTAAGTTTTCAGCCAATGATTTTTTTTGCATGTGATCCATTCATTGTTGGGCATCCGTTCCCTCCTTGCAACATACAGCACGGCCCATTCTTTGCCAAAGAACCTGAGACAGGGTTAATGTAAGTTACCTAGAAGGCACTTTATAGGGGGGGTTGCTGCATATAGCTGACGGGAAACACCCAGTTATAAGCTTTCATCATAAACAGCCTAAGGATTCCACTAATTCAGATGACTGAATGATAGGATAAAACCTACTAGATGGGAAAAGTAACATGGCGGGCATTTTCAAAATTAACGGAAAGTATTACTTTATGAACTGTAGGATGCGGCAGAACTCTTTCCGTTAGAATGATATATTTAATAGTAGTGAATTGCCGGTTAAGAATGAGAGTGGGGATGGGGGTGGGGAGACCAGTGCTGTGCCATGCCACTACCACCCTGCGCCGCCTCCAAGGGGCTCCGTCCCCACTGTCATTCCCCACATCCGGCTGTCTGTCTGTGCGGAACACTGATTGGCTGTTTCAGTCAGCATTGTGACTGGCTGCTGAGACAACCAATCAGAGTGCTCCAAGAGCATTACAGTCAAACACACAGACAGACGGACTAAGCCCTTTATATATAGAACATTATTTTTAGGGTTGTTCCTTCTTTAAAGCATAAAGCCTTCCAGTACAACAGAGGTCCTTTTACCCTGCTTATAGGCAGAGGTTTTGTTAAATAACTAGTTGTGTCTTGACATATTAGAGCAGTGGTGCTCAACCTTTTGGCCCTACGGGGCCAAATGAAAGGCACGGGGCTGGTCTATAGGCCAGATTAGACCTCACACGCCAGCATCAGGCCTGGGAGCCCTGCATCGCCTCCACTGAGTCCTGTGTGTGGAGTTTGGGCCCTGGAGGCTCCATGCTGCCTCCGCCTGGTCCTGCATGCTGGGATTGGGCTCTAAAAACCCCGTGCTGCTGCCAGGTACTGGGATTGTGCCCCATGCCACCATGCACATCTGACCTAGCATGCAGAGCCATGGCCTGTGGGGTTCTCCACAGACCCACGGGGAACCCTGCAGGGCTGGAAGACAAAGTACCAGGGGCCAGATCTGGCCCATGGGCAGGGGGTTGAGCACCCTTGTATTACAGCACTAATTACAGGGTTTTTTTTTTCCTCTGGAGTGATTTAATACACACTATAAATAAAATTAACTCCATTCTGTCTGAGAATAAGCCCTCTTTATAGACAACTGCATCATTTCCATAGTTTGAATGCATTTGGTGGCCTT